AAAGGTTTCTGCAGGACAAAGTGGTGCTGGACAACAGCAATTGAGACCAACTGCGCGACCGTTTATGCATTTTAATCAAACAGAGCCGGCCACTGACCACCAGCCAGTCCACGCTTCGATCCAGATTTATAATTTATCAAAGGGATAATATTCCTGGGCCCTTCTCATCTCTCTACGAAAGCCATGGATCGTTTGTTCTTGGCAAAGGTAAGCGAGTACGTCCACTTAAGGACAATTTAGGCAGAGTTTGGAGTGAATTTTACTTTGAAGGTGGGCAATTATGATGAAAACTTGTGTGCTTTTGTGACTTTCCTTTTTAATTTTTCATGTTTTACTACCCAATTGGATGTGATCTTATTCAGAGAACCTGCTTTCTGGACGTTACGCTTTTTGGCTAACCCGCTATAGATTAACATTTCTTCTAACTTCCTTATATCACCGTTTAAATGATATGCAATGGAATATCTTTTTTGTTTTAGTGAAGATGACAGTCGTTTTTGTCTACTTCTAAGTATATGCGATTTGTTATACTCATTTCCGTTACTTTAGTCAGAAACACAAGCTCATGAGTGACACTTGATCATATGTATCCGGCCTTATGCCAGATTGCATAGGCGGCTAGATGCATAATAGTTTGAGTTCAAATAAATAACATACAAAACTTAAATGTTTGAGTGAAGTAATGAAAATAATATAATAATATTCAAGCAAACTTTAAACAAAAAGGTATGGAAAACTTTAAATTAGACCTTATAACTTTTGTATACAGGTTTTTGTCTATGTGGCAGAGTTGAAGAGTTTTGATGCTAAAATAAAGATCATGAAAGCCAAAGGTAAGGTGCAGTACTTGAAAACGCAAAAAAAACTACATAAAAATCGATTTGACAAAAAATGAGATGATGATTCAAAAGTATATAAAAGACAGAGCTAAAATGGAGAGCGCTAAAAGAAATACAGTTAAGATAGGTTATATGAACTCGCTGATTACACTGATCAACAGCCAAAAAATATCCTAAATAAAATCAACAAAATATTACTATTTTTAATGTGCTAAAACCGGAATGAAACTTATTTTTTCAATATTAGTTCAAGTTTTAGAGATACGGTAATTATATGTGTTCCTGCTGTGACAGTGTTAATATACTGTAATGCACAAGAATGCACGTGCTACATTTTTATATTCGGCAAGGAAAGATGATGTAATCGGCATGATTGTGTTACGTTATACATGCGTGTACATTATATTGTTTTATATTAGCCATTTTTTCCTCAGTTGGCTGACAGCGTTCATGCAAGATGTCTCGAAAGTGTGTAAACAATCCAGATCAGTTTTGTTACGTGTGTGGTGATGTGACTTTTGCGTCTCAGAGACGGTCTATTACTCCACTAATAACAAAGGCATATCAGCTTTATTTCGGTTGTAAACTAGGTGATCAAGACAAACAGTGGGCACCCCACATCTGCTGTAATACATGTGCTTCAAGTCTGAGGAGCTGGTTAAATGACAAAAAACGGTCCATGCGCTTTGCTGTCCCAATGGTTTGGAGAGAGCCTACAAATCATATTAATGATTGTTACTTTTGCATGTTACCTTGTGTTGGACAAGCCACAGGTATGTCCAAGAAAAAAAAATCGGTTATTAACTACCCAAACATACCATCTGCGATGAGACCTGTGCCTCATAGTGACGAAAATCCTATTCCAAAACCCCCAGAATCCTACACTTGCGAATCAGAAAACGAATCAGATCATGGCGATCGAGTGATTCGTCAGGAAGAAGATATGCCATCAACGTCAAGAGATCCTGATTTTATACCGAGGACGTCATGCCACCAACCGCACAAAATAACACAGTCAGAATTAAATGATCTTGTAAGAGATTTAGAACTTCCAAAATGTAAGGCAGAGTTACTTGGATCAAGACTGCAGCAGTGGAACTTGTCAGAAGACGATGTTTCGGTATGTGTTTTTCGTAAACGCCACAAAGACTAGAACTTAGAACCATTTTTCAATATGGAGAATAACTTGGTTTTCTGCAGTAACATTAGCGGCTTACTGGCGGCTTTAAATATAAACTATAACCCAGAAGAATGGAGATTGTTTATAGACAGTTCAACATTGAGTTTAAAGGCAGTGTTATTGCATATTGGAAATATTTTACCATCTCTTCCTATAGGGTATGCAGTTCACATGAAAGAATCATATGACAATATGAAGTACCTATTGACATGCATAAAATACGATGAGCACCAATGGCATATTTGTGGCGATTTGAAAGTTATTGCACCTTTACTTGGGCTGCAGCTAGGCTACACAAAATTTTGCTGTTTTTTGTGTGAATGGGACAGTCGGGCAAAGGCACTTCATTACACCAGACAAAACTGGCCTGTTCGTCAATTCCTAGAGCCAGGTCAAAAAAATGTACAGCATATGCCATTAGCAGATTCGAAAAAAGTTTTATTACCACCACTGCATATCAAGTTGGGCCTGATGAAAAACTTTGTCAAGGCATTAGATAGAGATGGGTCAGCTTTTCAATACCTGCGTCAGAAATTTCCAAGACTAAGTGAGGCAAAGGTTAAAGAAGGTATTTTTGTTGGGCCACAGATTCGAAATATTTTGAAAAATACACAGTTTGAAAACACTTTAACAGGTATTGAAAAAACTGCTTGGAATGATTTCCGTCTGGTGGTCACTAATTTCTTGGGGAATAGAAAAGCTGACTACTATAAAACCCTTGTCAAAAATATGCTGTCATCGTATCAAAAGATGGGCTGTAATGTGTCTCTTAAGATACATTTCCTACACTCACACCTGGACTTTTTTCCTGACAATTGCGGAGCCGTAAGTGATGAGCACGGCGAACGTTTTCATCAGGATATTTCAACACTGGAAAAAAGGTACCAGCGAAAGTGGAATCCTTCCATGCTTGCAGACTACTGTTGGACTATTGGTAGAGATGCTCCAGAAACGATCCATATAAGAACAGCAAAAAGACAGCGCATATAGTGATTCTTATAAGTATATGAATCTTGTTACTTTTTTTAATATATCCTTAGAAATAAAAAGTTTTTTTCTAAATCGCAACTAATGTTTTTATTTCATTGTCATTTTTGGATTCAGCGCCCCAAAATTAACAAAGAAGTGCACTTTTCCCACAAGATACAATTAAAAAACTAAAATTTGTTGTCCAGTGTTAGTGGAGAAAAGTGGAGATGGGGTAAAAAAGATCAGATGTTGAAACCAGGCTCATTGATACAAAATAATTAGTAATGTATAGAGAAAAGGATAACTTGGAGACGACAGAAAATGTGGCTATGACAACGGAACAGGTAAGGAACAGGAATAAAAATAACGAGAGAGATAAGACGTTAAGTACATATAAATTTAAAGAAGAGAAAATGAGAATTGCAACTAGGAATGTCAGTAGTATCTACGAAGCAGGTGCACTGAAAAACTTGGTCAACATAATGAACGTATATAAAGTACACCTTCTAACTCTTCAAGAACGAAACTTAAAGAAACAGGAATATCACAGTGCGAAAATTTCATATTTGTAATAGCGGTGGTGCAAATAGACTTTTTGGGACAGGATTTCTAATAAATGCAAAGCTAAAAGACACGATAGTAAAATTTAAACCTATATCGGAAATATTGTGTTGGCTACGCCTGAGAGGGAAGTACAGGAAAATATCAATGATCAATGTACATACCCCAAGTGATTACAAGGATATGGATATCACAGGCTTTTATCAACATTTAGATGACGTGCTAACTAGTCTACCAAAATACGATATCAAAATAATATTATTTGACTGCAATGCAAAAGTTGGACGTGAAGACACTTCTCGAAACTTTACAGGAGGGAAACGAAAACACGAACTTTCAAATGAAAACGGCGATGGTACATGGAGAAGGCCAACTAATAAAGAACTGATGGAGATGTATAACCAACCCTATATAATACAAAAAAACCGAGCTCAAAGAGTGCGCTGGCTGGGACACGTTTACAGAATGCCGTTTTATAGGAATGCCAAAAAAGTTTTGTTTGTAGAAGAAGGCAGTAGAAGAAGAAGAAGAAGAGGAAAACCGAAGATGAAATGGCTGGAAAGTGTCAAAGAGAATATACGAGGACTAGGCATACCAGACTGGGAGGAAAAGACCAACAAGAGAAAATCGTGGAAAGAAGTTGTCAAAAAGATAGAAGCCATGTGCGTTCAGGCCTGAAGCACTGAAATATATATATATATACAGGTTTTTATCCTACTGGGTTATACAAAGGCACCTGTACATGACGGTTATGTTTTCTAGCAATTTTGTGAGCATATTCACATCCAACAGAATTTAATAAGATCTCTACTTCTTGCAGATTGTAACAAACGTAAAGTTTGGGATTATTTGTAGCTACCATGGAAACTAATTGACTTTATCGACGACAGATTCTGCAAAAAAGAGTCACGTATTCCGATAATACGCATATTTTGCTTAAATAGACCCACAGGCCTCAGAATTCAAAAAGCATGCATTGCTGGCAGGTGAACTGTGGTACTTCAGAAAACTGATTAGCTTTGACACCGTCTCATAACTTCCAGAACGTAATCAAAAATCTCTAAAACTGCTGAGGACGTCTTATTCTTCAATTATTATTTATGTTACAACATATGTCCTTTGTGTTTTGCATTTACAATAATTGAAAAAATCCAAAACTAAACAAAATATACGACTACCCAATTGTCAATGGAATCATATATGCTTGATCTTTGATTAGCGGTCCGACAACGTCAACATGAAATCCACATGATGAGCTTCAGGTGTTAAATTATACCAAAAATTATACTAAAGAGATTTCAACATCAATAGATTTTTTATATCGACAATGGAAGAAAACATTTTAGCTGCTGTGTAGGATCGTTGAACCATCGCACTTTAGGTAGAGTCGGCTCAAGGAAGATCGTTCTTCCGAGTTCCTACGCCTTTTTATTTGTTTCTTAAATATTTACCCTAGTTACTGAGTGGAGAATTAGTTTCAAGCCCATTCTAGATGAAAAAGCTCGTTGGGCAGTTGCTGGGTGGCATTACAAACAGTGAACATCCATCCCAGATAAACACGTTATGTATGGATCCGGCACACCGATAAACAATTCCGCAGAGGTGTGTTGTATTACTACCGGCCAGAGCAGCGCTAGCGTGGACCACCGAGCCTTATCAGACACCCACGCATCGTGTCGTGCGGATTTATTTATACCGCTGCACCGCTTCAACCTACTTTGCACACGTGCAATTGATAACACCGCTAAAAACTGCTTGGCAAGGAGTTATAATTATGTTATACTTTCTAGAATTCACACTATCAAAGAGGTGGGAAACTGAAACAGTGTAACCTTGCTCTGAGTACCAGACTTTGTGTCTGTCTACTGAAAACACGCCTAGCAAGTTCAAAACGTTTTTGTAGTTTCTCTATAATACGCATCATGGATCTACTCGTAAGTTCTAGCCCAATGTAAAAACTCTCTACATAACGTATGTCCTAAAAGTTTTGATACAAAATTCATTGGCCTTAATTTTAGCAAACACAAAATAATATCAAGTTACCCTTGGAAACAAAAGTTTGTTTACTTACTTTACTGTCAATTGACATTTAATTATTTTGGAGTTTTCGTTTTAAAATGTCGTATAAATTAGAAATGAGAAAAGTATATATAAGTTGGTTGAGCGGGTACATAAAGCTGAAATCTGTCAAATATCCCACAATGAAAACATTTCACGCAGAACCATTTATCGAACAATAGCGGAGTGCGAGCAGGGAATACCATGTCTGAATGTCCCAAAAAGTGGAAGATCACGTGCATTTACTGCAGCAAGGTCAGAGAGATTTGTGAGAAGAGCAAAACATCAGGTCGGAAGGTCAACAAGGAGACTGGCTCGTCAATACAGATCTAAGAGTACGATATCGTTGAAATTGATGAGAAATGGGCTTAAATAAGGAAAGAGAGTTAAGTGCCCCAAATACTCTCCAGCGCAACTTTGTATACCAATATGCTGCCGTCAACTGAGGCGGGTATTATTTTAGATGACGAAAGGTATTTTACTTTGAGTAATTCTGAAATGAATGGAAACGACGGATTTTATGCGGACAACGTACAGGAATGCCCTGACGATGTTAGATACAAGCATAAAACGAAATTTGCAGATGAAATCCTTGTCTAGTGCGCAATTTCTAACATAGGTGTATCCCTAACTTTTGTGGGAAGAGTGAATAGTCACAGCTATATTGATAACTGCTTTTACAAATTTCTTCAGTTTGTCCACTAACATCATGGTAATGACCATATCATGTTTTGGCCAGGCCTAGCATTATGCCATTACTCAAGAGATACCCAAAACTGGCTTCGATAACACAACATTACTTTTTGGTCCCAAAAACGGTAATCCTCCAAACTTGTCACAGGCTCGCCCAATAAAGGATTTTTGGGCTTTACTGTTTAGGAAGGTTTATCATGGCTGTAAAGCCCAAGATGAACAATTAAGAAGGCGAATTTACGAAAAACAGATAAATTGATCTGAATTCCGACCAGAACATCATGAGAGACATTTGAAAAAATTTGCGTCTGGTGAAGCAGAATAGACCACTCCACATAATTCGATAGTATAGTTTAGTTAAGTATTGAGTTGTAATTTATGACAAGTAGTTAGTGTTTAAATATTTTTTTTCATAAAAAAACTCCGATAAATATTTTGTGCAAAAACGTTTAGAACATACGTTATAATGATGGAAATACTAATCAGTTCAGGGGCTGGCAAAAGTGTTCACAAATTAACGCAAGTTCACATTCGAAGGACCTGCTTGAATTCAATAGGAATTCCACTAAACCCATGGTAGATCTTCTAATCGGATTTTGTAGTTCTACTATGACGATTTTGAAGCTAGCAGAAAATGCTACGTACTGGCTTTGCTGGGAGCGCGAGGGAACTTTAGCTCCAACTTTTCTGTTATCAAGAAAACCTGGCGAAGATGACGTTTCATATACGAGTATTTAGAATCACACATCGAATAGCAAAAGGCTCTATGCAAAGCCCTATGTGTACCAAGGGTAGTGTTCACACCGCCACCGTCACTAGTGGTGACAGTTCACAAACAGTGATGTTATGCCAATGGTCAAGCGCTGCCAGGCAGTTTTGAATCCCAGCCAATGGGGACGGAGACGCGCGGACATCGGAACACCGAGGAGGGACAACAGGTGTAGAGACAGAACGCATCATAAACGTTCAAGAAAAATTTGTGTTGTCAATCATTTTTCTAATCAAATACAGTCCACTCTGTAAACTTCAATAAACTTTCTACAAGACTGGAACGGATGTGTCCTTGCCGCACATAACAAGTGATTTGCTCAGGATATCCGGATACCCACAATCTCATCGTTATAGGAAAGTCGTGATCACATCATGGTTTTAAATCACAGATAGAGAAATATCACAGATACTCAAAAATATCGATATCGGCCATCTCTGACCGTAAGTAGTTATATGGTACTGCGTGTCTGTGTATCATCACCTCTTTGCGCCAAGAGATGGCGCAGCACCACTCCGAATTCGAATAGAAGGAGCCAAGCCTGTATGTTTACATCGCATTGTTTGTCGCCAAATTTGCGTAGTTTTAGAACTTTTTACTCATTTGTCTACCAATTCCTATCAAAGTGACAGCGTTGTATCAACATAACTATAATAATACTTACCGGTCGAAACATCAACCTTTATTAGTAGAAGTACGAACAGAGCTGAAGCCTTCCAAGAAGACAAGTCAGATAAATGCATTTCTGAATATACTGGTCGTCTTTTTATAGAGGTTAGATAGGGAGACAAAGAAAAAGAACGAACTTTTAACTATGGAATCCAAAATTCTAGTTGCAAAAGTTCTTTGGTCACGGCCATGTTGCATCGCCACACCACCACTTGACGTGATTAATAGTGTTGCAGGATCGCGTCTGCCATTAGCATGCCTCGCGGATGCGGTCGCCCCGCACGCACCTACACTGTCTGATCGCACTGGTGCTATGCCATCACGCCACCAAGATGTGAACTCCTCCCCATGACCGACTCAAATGGACAATACTTTCCGATACCGATAATACCGTTGTTGCACCCGGTTCTTTCTACCCGGTACTTCTCTCTAGTATCATCTACAGCTTTAGCCAAAAGTATTGAGCACCCTCGATATCTTTCAATTTTAGAGGACTGTTATATTGGAATAAATTGACACAATTTTTTATAGTCACAAATCCCTTATTATGAGAAGAAAATCAATATTTTGTGGGACCTCCCTTCACCTTAAGTACAGCAGAAATCCTTCTAGGTAAAAATCGTACAAGTTTATTACATTCTACGTAAGTTAAAGCGTTCCATTCTTCACGTAGGCGGCGCTATAAGTCTTCTTTTGTGTTGATTGTGTGACACCTGATCTTGCGTTTAATAAGTCCCACAAATGTTCAATCGGATTCAGGTCTGGTGACTGGGCAGGCCAACCCAGAAGCTCGATACAGTTTTCTCTGAACCAAGCCATTGTCCGTGCAGCTTTGTAGCAGGGCGCATTATCTTGCTGGAATTTGACCCCATTCATGTTGGTATATCACCATAAAGTGCGGTAAATGACAGCAAAAGAGCACATTCAAGTACGTTTATGTAGTTTGTGGCATCCATGCGACCCTCACACACGGACATTTCTCCGACTCCAGAAGCACAAATGCAGCCCCAGACAATTACGCTGCCGCCTCCATGTTTCAAAGTAAGCACCACACACTCCTGATTGAATTCTTCTCCTACGCGACGACGAACAAATGTCACACCAGGTGTACCAAAAGTCTAAAAAACTAAGAAATGTCATTAAGTTTCAAAGTTGTTTCAAAAATTATTTTTCACATCTCGTTATTGCATCAAGTCAACTAACGTACCTCAAAATTTGATTCGTCTGACCATACAATATTTGAGCAATCCCCTTCAGTGAAGTTTTTGTATTTTAGAGCCCAATCATACCGAGCCTTCTTGTTTTTGTCTGAGAGCCATGGCTTCTTTCTGGCTTTGCGGTCATTTAGACCAGCTTATTGCGAGTACATAGTTCGGGTAGAAATTGGCCTATTAATCTGCGCTGATGGCTCGGCAGCGGGGACAATAGAAGTTTTTTCATATTTTTCAATACTCTGTCTTCACGATCTGTGGTAATGCATTTGCGGCCTGTTCTAAGTCTATCTTTATGTGAACCGGTCTGAGCGAATCGTTGAATAGTGTATTGTACACATCGACGCAACACTTCACTGTTTTCGCAATGTCTACTTGGGACTTCTCTTGTTCATGATGAACCTGTATTTTCACACGTTTTTCAATGCCCACTTCATTCTTTTTTGTCATATTGCGGGAGTATTAAATTCTCGAAATAAAATTATCAAAGTCTCACTAAATCACTGAATTGTTCACAACGAACGATAGAAGCGAAATTATGAATTCGCACTGAAAAGGTAAAACTGAGTAATCTCTAAAAAATTAGACGTCTTAGCGATAGTAAGCAGATATGGTATTCTTTACAAACTGGTCAGGCTACCTACAAATATTTTTGTAACCTTTAGTTTTTCTTTTCGTTTATCATTATAGCGCACGTGCAATATTTTTTGGGTGCTCAATACTTCTGGCCCAGGCTGTAGAATGAATCGATCCCATACCAGGGTCGGTTGTAACACCAATGGGAGGCAGTTTATTAACTCTCAAAAATAATATGTAAATCAGGCACTTAAAATCAGTTTTATTAATCGAAAATACGGAAACGTACTTAAAACTTATTAACAATATTTAAGCATTCCGTTTCGGACTCTCGAAGTAATCGGTCGATTTACGGTTGCTACTGCTGAACGGGAGTGTTTTTCTTGACGAGTTTTTTCTCTCTTGTTTTTTTTTCTTTTCACCTATTTTCTATTTGCTGGTAAGGTATCTTATAATTTATAAATAGCAACAGCCCTCATGAATGAAGAATCGGGCGGCATAGAGCCGCCCCCACATACAGGGCAATCCGCCTTCATTGCAAATAGTTCATCAAGGTCAAACAATGAATCACACGATAATAGCCCCAGGTATGACTTGAATAATAGATATCTGGCATCTGATAAAGGTCCTTATATTGTTATATGGAACACAAAAGCAAAAATTTAGGCAGACTCTTTCCAATCAAGGTGGGTCACTTTTTGCAACGAAATATGGAGTTCAAAAATGATATCTTGGATATACAATCTATCGGTCTGACGCGAGTGAAGGTTATTTTCGGGACGTATAGTACTGCTAATAAACTAGTACAACATGAATTGGTAGTAAATAATGATTTGATTGCGTACATACCACATTTTTTCACAAGCAAAAAGGGTGTAATCATAATGGTCGATACATATTTTACTGAAGATTATTTGGAAAGGGAAATCTGAAGAAAGATGTCAAAAATGCTCCGAGGAACACACGCAGGATTCTCGCTGTACGGTAACATTCTGTGTATACTGTAAAACTGACGAACACAATTCCGTTTCAAAAAACTGTCCTATGTACAAAAAACAATATAATATAAAAAGGATTATGGCGTATCAAAATAAGTCATTTAAGGAAGCCGAGAGCATGGCAGACAATCCTTCTTTCAACATAGTTACTAATAATAGATTTGCAGTTCTTAATACCACTGAAAATTTTCCGGACTTACCACCCCCCACTTACGCTCAACTTACCTCCTCTATTAGAAAACCCAATTATCGGAACGATGATGCTAAATTGCCTGCCCCTAAGAAAAGAAAAACTTTCAGCTCACAGCCTATAGCTGACACTCATTATGTCTCAAAAGTACTACCAAAATCTCAACCTATTATACCAAATCCATATCGAGAAGAATAAACAACGTAAAGAAAATATGATCCTCCAAATATCGACTCTTATTACTAGATTATTAAATTCACCATCTGCATTCTCTCAGATAAATATTAAGGCGCATTTAAGCTCTATTTTTGACGAATACACAGAAAATATACCTTCCAACAGCAACACCGAAGTAATCGATATTACTTGAGTGATGATGATACCTTTTGATAATGCAGGACACAACAAAAATTCAAAAAGATCTAAACAGTGATATACATATTTTACAATGGAATGCACGATCGATTGTTGCCAATAAAGCAAGCCTTCAGTACTTCTTGACCAATAACAACATGCATGTAGTAGTTATCTCCGAGTTATGGCTAAAAGATACACATAATTTCAGCTTAAAAGGATATAATTTTGTGAAAAAATGTCGAAATAGTCGGTCAGGTGGCGTAGGTATTTTGATCAAACAGGATTTAATTCATACAGTAATTCATTTACGCAATAACTTTAACCCAGGTTAGAGGCTTGCCCAGTTTCTATTAATGATGGGGAAGTTAATATTGTGTCTATTTACAAACCACCAGACATTCGTGTGTCTGAAAGAGATTGGTGCAATTTTTTTGGTCAATTCAATGGCCCTACCGTCTTTTGGACCACTTTCCAATCAAAATAACAATTCAATCATCACCAAGTCAACTTTTTGAATTCTTACCATACACTCGATGGAACGAAAAACGCGGGGATTAGACACTTTTTCAAAATACGCTAGAAACGAAGCTAACTGGCATATCAGATCTAGACAGTATATCAAACACCGATAGGTTCGATAAACTAATAAAGTTAATTTCAGATGCGGCAGATATTACCATGCCTTTGAAAAAACCTTTTATCCATTCCAGTGCTCAACCAGTTTGGTGGGACGAGGAATGCACACATATATTTGAAAAACGAAAGGAAGCTCTTGGTAATTATAAGCGGCGAGCAAGTTACGAAAATTTTGTTGAATACAAAAAATACACAGCGCAGGTCAAAAGGCTATTTAAACAAAAACATAGAGGTAGCTGGATGTCATTTTTAAATAAGCTGAGTCGGAGAACCCCCATCAGCGAAATTTGGTGATTTGTCAAATCAATAAATAAAAATTCAGTTGCTAATAAAATTCCAATACCAAATGGTTTAATTGAACAGCTTTTAGATCAGTTTGCTCCATTATCAGCTTCCACACCTCCTATAGTTAGTTCAAATTTCACTCCTCATCAGCAAACCTTTATGGAGAAACCATTTAATTTTGAAGGACTAGAATGGTGTCTTGAAGAACGTAATAACAAGTCTCCAGGAATAGATAAATTTACTTATGAGATCCTTTTTAACTTGCCTAAATCAGTTAAACTGTTATTCTTAAGAATTGTAAACGATTGGTGGACAAATCACAAGTTTATAGAGGAACTCAAAACTATAATCATTTGTCTCATATTAAAACCATCGAAAGATGCCGGACTAACTGATTCATACAGACCTATCTCACTTTTATCGTGTTTAGTTAAAACCTTTGAGCGCATGATAAAACTCAGATTAGAATTTTTCATCGAAAGCAACAAACTATTCCCAGACTCCCAGTACGGTTTTAGAAGAGGTCGCGGAACATTAGAAGCGATAAGTCAACTAGTGTTGGATGTCCAGTTATGTTTCTCCAGAAACCACTACCTTTTGTGCTAGTTTTTGGATTTGAAGGGAGCATATGACTCGGTAGATTTGAGAATACTTATGCAAAAGTTAACACAAAACGGTCTATCTAAAAAATCCTCAGCTAGCATAATCCAGTTGTATATAAATAGAAAAATGTATATAAGAAATCATAGAAATGAGTTATTCGGCCCCAGAACGATATACAACGGCCTTCCTCAGGGTTCAATTCTTAGTCCTATATTATTTAATATATATACAACTGACTTCCATGGCATTTTCGACAAGGAAGTTCAAGTCATTCAATACGCCGACGATATATGTGTTTACATTGCTCACAATTCATATCAGTACTGCCTCCAAAAGTTTGAACTCGTGGTGGAGAAAGTGAAAAGTTGGTTGCTAGAGGTAAATCTCCGATTGGCTGTAGAGAAGTCTGCGATGATGTGTTTCACAAGACACAGAGTAGCACTTCCCAGCCTATATGATATCAGTGGCCTTAGTATACCCGTGGTTCAGCAATATAAATATCTAGGAGTAGTGCTGGATTGTAAGCTCACTTGGGGCAAGCATATTCAGTACTTAAAAACAAAAGCTGAAAAAGGGATTAACATACTTAAGTGCACCACAAAGAAAAAGTGGGGATCAGATCCTAAAATAGCGCTTATTTTTTACCAGTCTTACATAAGGTCCGTATTGGATTATGGTTGTGTGCTGTACGGTTCCGCGGCTAAGTCTCACCTAACTAAAATTGACCGAATACAATATCAGGCCTTGAGAATTTGCATGGGAGTCATGAAATCAACACCATGTCCAGCAATCTTAGCTGAAGCAAGGGAACCTCCTCTTGCATTACGAAGAAGGTACTTTGCAGAGAAGGCTGTTGTCAAATACAGAACCTATAACAAATACTTGCTTAATAAGATATCACAATTAGTAACTACAGACTTGACTAACAAGTACTGGAAAAAAAATCCTCACCACTGCTAGCTGAAGCTTTCGTCATCTCGCTAATTTAATTCATCCTATGGATAATTACCCGTTATATGTTGGCCCTTATGAAGTTTTCCTAAATGAAACAACCATCACAATACCTACATATACCGAAAACTGTTATTACAATAGGTCTGTTCTATCTGCCGTATTGGAAGATCTCAATTGCCACACTGTCGTCTATACCGACGGCTCCAAATGTGAGATGGGTACTGGGTGCGCGTTCTACGTCCCACAAAAAGATTATTGCAAGGGATACAGGATAATTAATCGCTCAGATGATTAAACTTGGCTTCCAACTACCTTTAAGTCTGACTACCATTTTATCCTTTCCGGATATAAAAATTTATTTAGCGCTAATTCAATTCCTTAAAAAGGCAAATATTACTATAGTCAGAATCACGAAAGATGACTATTACGTCATACCATAAATTGCACTGAAGTAATCATTGGACGTACGTCGATGATAAAATCACGATATCAGGAATAATGACAACAAATTTATGTTATGATTTGGGAAGATAGGTTATTACACTGATTATTTTTGTTTTCATTTTATTTCATGGTTTTGAGTTATAATAATCTTAGTGCGGAGTTTTTGTTTTGACAAAAACAGTTATGATTAGAATACCTTAAGACAGCAACACCAAAGACCAAAGTATTATTCGACAACCACATAAGCTGCTTTAACATAACCTAACTATTCCTCTTTCAAATAAAAATCGATCATGCAACATGAAAACATCGTCTATCTTTGTCGTATACATGCATATTAGCAATACAGTTTGTTTAGACAATATAATTCTGTTTGTCTCTGTCTAGCATATCTGAAACTTCATTAAACATATTCACAAATCGCTGTCGTTTGTCTTTACTACAGACTAAAATGATGACGTAATCATCATCTTTCGTGATTTCGACTATATATAAAATAAACCTTGTCTGGAATTCGTAACTATTCAGTTATATCCACTCCTTTTCTTTCTTTCTTACCGTGTCTCACAATGATCAGATAATATAAATCCATTGACAACATTTTGTGGCAAATGGACTCCAGTTTCCA